ATATATATATATATATATATATGTATATATGTATAGTATCAGTACTTGATCACTAACTTATATCATTTACAGCCAAATTTAGCCACAATGATTAATCATTCCTGCAATTAGATTGGATCACAAGTTCTGGCTTATATCATTATTCGCTCTATTATTTAGAATAAAAATATTTCGTACTAAAATCTTTTTTATTATTTCTCTAAATTATTCATGTATTTACTGCTTGATAGCCTTTCTGATTACAGCTCTTATCAGTCGAAAAGCTTTGGAAGGTAATTGGAGTGATTTTGAACAATCGCTTCCTAAAACTTATCGACAGGTTTGTTGCAGCATTTTAATTGGAGAAAAAAAAACTTCAAACTCTACAATTTCGATCAATATAACAGATTAGAATTGAAGATAAAGTAAACCAAAGACGGAACGACTTGATATACTTGAGCAAATTTGAATTGGAGCAATGTTGGACTGAACGTGATGATAAGAAGTTTAAAGTAATACTATGCTTGAAGTAATATAGTATCGATTTATCAATCGTAACATGTATTTATTCGTTATCATTATCAGTTATGAATATTTGTAGTGGCTAGATTACGAGTCATGGTGGATTGTATTGGGCACATTAATTGTTATCACGACTGTCTTATTCTCCCTATTGTATATATTCTATAGTACGGTAAGATGTTGTATTACATCAAGCAAAACGAAAACAACGGATCGAAAACGTGATTACTGTAAACGTCATTTACTCAATATTTTTATTACCGTGTTCGTCCTCATAGATGTGTAAGTAATCTAACTTTTTTGGTTTACCGTAAATTCCTTTTTCTTTTTCTAACCAATGTTTATATGTTTATACTAGCAATTCAGATTTTAAGCAAGAACTTTTTTGTTTCGGCATTTGAAAAAGTAATGGTAATTTCAAATAAAGTTCTTATAAAAATTCTCTTTTTTTAAAAAAGAAAATTTTTGCTTCAAATTTCACTTTTTTTTGCACGTATTCCACTTTACTCGAGTATGCTACGTAACTACTTACTTTACTTGGTAAACCACGTAACTATTTTACTGTGGCAAACTACGTACAAGTACTAAATAAATGCTATCCTATATGTAGCATATTTAAATGTAAATTAAAATACAATACTTCATTACCATCAATTGCTAAGTGAAAACTGCCGATGGAAACAATTAATAACTAATTTAATAATTTTAAAATGACTGTGACAGGTTAATATTCTACGATAACTGTACAGTATTTTATAATTCGATGAGGAAGATTTGTTTTTTGTTCAGTTTTGCGGTATCCACACTGCTTATCAGTAGTCAGTATGCAGAATATGGAGCCGATGAACTACCTCGACGCCTCAGTCATTGTATAAATGATCTCTCATATTATAAGAAAGAAACGGATCAAGTTTGTTGTTCTTTTACTCTTTAAAAGTTTTAAGAATAGGTAAATTCCTACTTTTTAGAAATAGATAAATTAAGTTTTATTAATATTTCGACAAAATGGAATAGTTTGAAATAAATGATTTGATAAGTGATAATGTTTAACATATTTCAATTTAATTAATTTACATACATATCATTAGCTTCCTTCGAGGTGTTCATCTTTGTTTTTCGTCACATCTTATGTTATCGTCAAATAAGTTGCGATAGTTTCGATAACTTTAATATGCGAATGAAATGCATAACAAATAATTTTGGAATATTTGGTACCATTGTAGTAATGTTAAAAATTTGCCGGAACCATTAAATTTATCTGAACTGGATTAACAAATTTGTTAGTTTATCTGTTTTTCTTCAACTTGAAAATTAGCAATATTGCGTTTCATCTCTCAACCATGTCCGTTCAACGTGTAAAATATTTGGTTCATTGAAGAATTTATAAAATTTTGCGGAAATTTAAACTTTTCAGCGAATTCGAAATACATTAATTGATGATTTTCAAAAATTAAATGAGTCATTATCAGCTCTAATTGCCTCAGGCGGTAAACCGATTGTGCAGCGTGTCAAAAAAATTACTGGTGCATATGCCATGGATCCGTTTCTTAATATTTCGAATGGTTAGTTTAAATTTTTATTAAATTTTGATTGGAAAAAATCATCGGTTAAATTTGTATTAAAAAATAATGATATTGCAATTATTGTTGTTTTTTTAAATAAACATTGATAGAATTACTATTTCAAATTTAACCTTTATTCAACTTAACAATATTGTTATTTCTGATTTGATTTTTATTCAGTTTAGCAGTATAGTTACTTTTGACTTGACTCTTTATTTAACCATGTGCTTTTTTTAGAAGCTCAGGAATTGTTAAAACTCGTGGCTAATGATGAAAATAAGTTAAAGAAATTAAACGGTGAATTGTTTTCATTGCGAAACGAGCTGACTAAGCTATATCAGACTTCAATTAATGAAATACGTACCTGCATTCATAATGATTTTGAAATTATTAAAAGGCATTGTCAGGAAATTGGAAATGAACTAGCTGATATCGATAACATTACCCTTCATCTTCAACAAGTAAGCCGAAATTTCAAATTCATTTTCCAATTTAATAATTCCATAATTTTAATCAACATCTGAATTTCGGAGAAACTTTTAATCACATTTGAAAAGAAAAAACGAAGTATCCGTTAAATGTTGATATTGTTACCACATTGGTTGATACGAAACAAAAGACCACATTGTCTGAAACTGTCCGAGACTTTCATCCCATCCCAACGATAATTCCATATTTTTAACTGATATTTGAATTGAGTCGGAATATGATTCACATGATTTTTCCATTCATTACCTAACTGATTTCATTAATTACACCGTCGGGATATGATTCACATGATTTTTCCATTCATTACCTAACTGATTTCATTAATTACACCTTTTTCCAATCCTTTTATCTCTCTCTCTCTCTCTCTTTCTCTTTCAGGATATTCTTAATAGTGATACGATGAATGCGTTGAATAGGTTAGCCGAATCAGACGTTGCTGAAATATTCGTTGAAGCATTATCAGATTTTAAAGATGGAGAAATTGAATTAAACAAAAAAGTACAGGAAAAAGAACAAGGTTTAAAGCATACCATGTTAAAAGTTTTAATTTATCAACTGGAAAATTTTGGCGATCTATTCATTATGAATTTTTGATCAGTTAATTAATTAGTCAATCGTTAATTTTAATTATTTTCTAAATGGTATCAATCAAAACAATTTCAGCTATACAAACAAGTATAAAAGAAATTCACCATGATCTGTTACGCATTGCTGATACATTATCAACACAAATACGACAAATTAAACCAGAATTATTGCATAATGTATTGAAACAGTACATGGGCGCTAATTATCATAACATTGTGCAATATACGTATGTTTCTTCCATTTTTCGTCTAAATTTAGAATTTAAGTATGGAATAGAAAAATAACGAGTAATAATAATTTAGATTGTATATTAAATGAAGTATGTAAAACTAATTATTTTTAATTTTTGACAAACTTTATGATATTTTTGAAGAGAAAAAAAGTATATATATATATATATATATATATATATATATATATATATATA